CGGATTTCAATTAGACATTTCTTAGTAACCAGCAGTGATATTGGACAAACTAATACGCGTTTGGCTATAAGGTAATGTACTTATTAACTACACATGGTGCCAGTTACTGTAGCATTCGTTAAAATTGCATAATCGATGGTCGAATTATGCCTTTAACACTGCGTGGCCGTCGTGTAACAGTCGGAAAGCCTGGAACAGGCGTAGCCGTCGTGTAACACTGCGTCCTCCGTCGTGTAACAGTCGGAGAGCCTGGTCGGTTTACGCGGGCTATAGTCCTAGAGCTACTACCGTGCATGCATGATCATGATTTAGCCCGACCAGGCTGTGCGACGGATTGTCTATACAGGTATCCTAACCCTAGCGATACCGTTTCTTGGAGCTAGATCATGATTAGGCCATGAGAATTGAGGTATGAGTTTACGAACCGCCCACCGCCCACATGCTGTCAGAGCCACCGCCGAAAATATTCATTATTTCAAAAGTATTTCATTATTTTCATTTTTAAATCATTAAAACTCAAGTTGTCCATTCAGAGCGATTAAAACATACATTACCAATACAAAAACGCCATAGGTCCTATTTACATCCTTCATTGGGGTCCTGATCCCCCTCTGGCTCTTTGAGACATTGGGTTTGGTTTTGGTTTTGGTTTTGTTCCGTTTCTTTCTCCGAGCCAAGTTTTGCAAGCCCAATTATTACACACATGTATGCGGATGTCGCATAATGAACAATGGGTTAACTACAAATATTAAATGAATAATGAAAAATGAAAAAAAGCCTCCTCACTTTTCAAAATATCTCGGACGGTAAACTCATACCTCAATTCTCATGGCCTTAGCTCTAGTAGTACTAGTAGTACTATAGCCCGCGTACAGTTGCCACAGGGCTATAGAACATTCTATTACGAATGCTAGGGACCAACTTACTCCAGCCAGTCAGCGGGAACTATGTATTTCCACACGTGGAGTGGTGGGCGGATTGTGTTGGTTGTGGACAAAAGGTTGTTGTCAAGTAACAAATTAATAATAGTATTAGTAATTTGTTCTTCTTTCATGACAAAACTAATATTACAATCTTTTTTTATCGCTTAATTTGTTACTTGACAACTACAAAGCGCGCCTTCGTGGCCCAGTGGTTAGGCCACGTATACTGTCCACTGAAGGATGTTAGTTCAAACCTTTGCCGGGGCAGTGAATTTTCTCAAGGTGTAAAACCTGGCTCTCAACATTGGAGACTGTGAATCTCCCATGGCTCGGATGACCACGTAAAATGACGGTCCCTTCTCCAGTAATACTAAGGCCAATGGGGACGTAAAAGAACCACTGAGGGCGCAAAAAAACTCTGGCTGTGACCACCCTCAGTGCCATTCGGCTAAAACCCTAACTACCTGGCTTTACCCAAGCTATAGGTCACACCCCATGGCTAGCTATAGCCGTTGGCATAATCATCAGTATGTTGATGGTGGCCAATATAGAGTAGAAGTAGAAGTAGAAAACAATGTTTTTGTCCACAACCAACACAACCCGCCCACTCCTCCACGTGTGGAAATACATATCCCTGCTGACTGGAGTCTGGTGCTGCTGCAGCGCCACCAAAAATGGCCATTTGAAGTTCGTAAATAATGTTCGTTCACAAGAAATACCACAAGTAGACCATTTCAACGATAGTTAGAGGTTAAACTTTATAGTAACTGATATAACTTAAGACATACTCACTTCGGATAAGAGGCATTAATTGCCTTCCACAGACGTTTTATAGCCGCGAGTAACCGTGAATAAGTTGGTTCCGAGCATTTGTAATAGAATGTTCTATAGCCCTGCGGCAACTGTACGCGGGCTATAGTTCTAGATCATGATGCAGTACGACTGTGTCACAGACACAGTGTCTGAGTGTGTGTTGCAGAGGTATTTACTTTTATATATTTGAACGAAATTTGCGTGGAATTATTAGTCTAACAGACAATACAACAATAGAGTCAAACATCAAGACTTTGGTAGTAAGTGCAATTCGTGTTTATTTACAATCATTTTATTTTTTAAACAGCTCAAGTGCTTACAAATGTGGCAGGTTTGGTTTTATACTTAAAAATGGTGACACTTTACTTTAGTCTCGATAAGACCATTTTACCACTAGTTACTACCAGTAATTTTTGGTCTGCATTCATTGGTGTGATGTGCACACAGAAAAATACTCTTAAATGTTTTATCCTCCCACACATCGCATCAGAAAATGACATTAGATTGTAGCCTTCTGTTTGTGAAGAAAGTATAAATTAAAATTAATATACTTTTTATTTATTTCTCAGCATCGGAGAAAATAAAGTTGCTCATTGATAGGACGGAGGGTAATTGCTGCTTTCGTTTGCACAATGACCGGGTCTATTATGTTAGGTAAGTGTGAACAGTTTAAGTGGCTGAAACCATTTATTGGAGGATATATTGAGCATTTAGTATTGCTATGGTCAACTAAGCATAGCAGTGTAGCTTGAATAGAGCGTCTCGAATGTCGCACATCGCTTGTGAGGGGTATTCTTACCTGCACTTTTTTTCTCACTTTCGTGCACATCCTATCACATGTTCTCCAACCTAGTTCTCACCCCTAATTTCACACTTTATTGTTATATTAAGTTTTCCTTCTGCAACAATATTACACCACAAGGACCTGAGGCATAGTTTGTAAAACGTTAAGAACAGTTTAGCCACCCATCGAGTTATGTTATATAAAAAGAGAAAAGGTCGAGCTTCTCTTTTTATATAACATAACTCGATGGGTGGCTAAACTGCTCTTAACGTTTTACAAACTATTCCTCAGGTCCCTGTGCATTATACAGGCATTACACACAAAATTTTGTTGACACACCACCTACTCCCACTATTTAGATGATCTAGCATCTATAAAATGGAAGAATAAACTCAATGAGGAGAAACGTAAAAATACTGCTTTATGTGAAGCATTTATTCTGTGTGAGTGGTTTCACTATATAACTGCTGTATTCACAACTCTCAAGCATTCTCTATATAAAGACGCGCATTCTATAAAGCTGCCTGGGGCCTGTTGTCAGAAACAAAATTGGTCTTAACATTAGTCTTAACATTAACTTTTTCTCTTAGACCGTCGACAGAAACGCTGCGAAGTTACCTGAATTAAAAATCGCAGCAGATTTCCTGATAACAATACGAAACAAAGCGCTGTCGACGGTCTACGAGAAAATGTTATTGTTAAGACTAATGTTAAGACTAATTTTGTTTCTGACAACGGGCTCCTGGTCTCTAACACAGGTTTAATGTGGAGGCTGTCGAGGGTCGAAAGCACCAGGTATCACCAGGCGGCGCTGCACGACAGGTAACGACCAGGAGGTTCTTTGCAGGTAGTTATGTGTGTACTATCAATCATTTTAATACTGCTACTGGTGGTCGGTTAACACTCGGCCCACTCAGCGCACGCAAACAGTTATACAATTAAACCACCTACGTAGAATGGGTTACCTGTGCATGAAGAACACTTGATGTTTCTTTCGAGGAGCCTTTACACAGTTACAATATTTTTTTATAAGGGCCACCTTTTTCCTTTTCCTCAATTGGAAATGCCATCTCTGGTAGCAATTGCTTGCGTGAAACAGTTAGTTTCTAATGCACTGTGTTTGCTCGCGCCTCTAGGATGTGTAGATGGAGCTCTACTTGGAGGAACTCGGGGGACAGGGTGGAGGAGGCGAACGCGCAGTGCCAGACCGACCCGCCTCCCCGTTGTTCATCCCCGCGAAGATGGGAGTCAACGCCGTGACACGGATCTACGACGGTAACGTACGTGAGTGCAGCGCGAGCACGTGCCAACGGTGCAGACGCAGCGATTGTCGCCGGGAGGTGTGGGGGGCGGTCCAGTTTTAGTTTTTAATCGAGGGGGGTAAGGCGAGCGTTGCCCTCAGGTTTAGTTGAAACTTTCTAGGGCACCGCAGCAGGTCAGAGCTTCACCGCAGCAAAGATCTCCTTCGGACGAGGGCATCGTTGTCATCGAGGCAAATTAGTTCTAATTGAGATTTTTTTACATAAGACGGGCCGGTGCGCATATACGACACTGAATGCATGGGAAGTGCATGGGGTTAAATCGGGTGATGCAGTATGAGAAATTTTTACACGCCACGTACAAGAAACTCCATAACTTCACCACGTTTCCATCAACGGTCTACGATAACAAAGTTGACGTTCAGCCTATAATGTAGAGACCGATCTCCACCTGATCCCAGCTGGCACCCGCTGCGATGGGAATTTGATTGTTGGTGTGAGATGTATTCTGATATCTTTTGATGACGTGATATCGTGACCATGGCGGTGAGGTACCGGTTCGTGATCATGCTCTACGTTAGCCTCCTTAGACCATTTGTATGAAGGATTTTCCAAGTCTCCCTCATCGTACTCGTCACTGTGACCTTGAGCAATAACGCTGTGTACGGTAGACAGAATAGCGATCGTGGTAATAAAGAGAAATAACGTCGATTTCTTTTTAAACAACAACTCAAACTTTCCAATGGTCCCCGCCATTTTTCCAGACGTGGCTAATGAACAATTAAGCAGGTGGTGCCATCTGCTGATTGTATTTGGTGATTATTAATATTATAGATGACGGTGTAAATAATCGTAAATAATTGTAAAAAATCATAAAAAACATGTTGATAAGTTTGTGTTCATTTGAGAGCACGTATATTGATATACGTGCTCTGGTTTACGTTATACATCTTATAGTAGAGCTGTAGATGTTCGCTGCGTGAGCTAACCTAAAATAAAGTAAGCAAACACTATATTACAAGTCTAAAATCGGGCACTGTTAGTGTTACTGACTAGGGTGTTGCTATCCCACGGGCGTGGAGGGAGGTCACGTGATAACGTTGACGATGACGTTCAAAACGTTAACCATAAAGGTAACCCTCACTCCAACACCGCCAACACTAACACCCACACTAAATATATATGTGTCGCCGCGCTATATATAGCCTATAGGCATTGTGATCCACAAAAATTAATCTATGGTGTGGGGACAGATATCATGATGCAAAAACCCTAACCCTAACCCTAATCCTAACCCTAACCCTAACCTTAATCCTAACCCTAACCCTAATCCTAACCCTAACCCTAACCCTAACCCTAACCCTAACCCTGACCCTACCCCTAANCTTGAAATATTGAAATGTTAATTACGTACAGACAGATTCTTTGCTAGTTTTTGACAGATCTCTAAGTAATGCCATGAACCCTTTATACATGATAATGATACATGTTCGTGATAACAGACATCTGTTCACACTTTTGCCATTTTCCTTGAGTTATATGCAGGTATGACTGCATATTTCCTTATATGCAGGTTTTTTGCTCAGATTCAAACACTCTACTAAACCACTATAACTTTGCACTTTTTCCTCCTTTTTCAATTTATATATTACAGTCTTAGTGTAAAGTTTCTGGTTCTAACCAGGTTACTTATACTGTTGACTTCTGTTATGTTTCAGTCTTCACTGTGTTTCGTTTGTCTCACAAATAAAGCTGTTCGAGACNCGCATCTTGTGATGCTACCTTCTCGCATTCGCGTACTTTGAAGACACACATGAATATCACACGAAAAAAAATCATTCAAATGTAACATTTGAAGTGAGTGAAGCTTACGCTCTGAAGACACTAGCTCTATAACACAACAACATGTATAATAATTAGAGAGATGTCGTACAGATGTAAGCAGAAAGTATATCTCGACTGTCAGACTCACATGTATAGCAGCTTGCTCTGTCAAACGCGAGCACACAGTACACATGTGAACATGGAGCTGGAATGCCAACGAATGCAACTCAACTGTTACAGCTTCTTTCCAGATTGAAGCTGAACTAGGAATTGCTTGTGAAAGCCATGAAACCTTCTTACGTCATACAACCTGATGGTGAATGTTTGTGTTTTTTGATGAGTATTACTCTTTCCAACGTGTGACTGTCATACAATCGCTGAAATTTAATAGCATTGTGAATTAATCATGTGTTTTGAACACTGATCTAATAAAACGCATATTACGCATAATTATTTGTAATTTTTATGTCTATATGTAAATGTATATATAACACAGAGACACGCACGTCCGCACGCACACATAATTGCTACGGAAGAGAACCAACAGCACAGAGGATGGTAAATTGGAGAACGAGCAGGAAATGAAAAAGAATGATGAGAAAATCAAATACAGACAACTGTGTGAAAATAAGTCTGGATATCCCTGGATATCCAGACTCTCAGGACTTCTGCTGAAGTCTGGATAGCCAGGGAAATCCAGACTTCTCAAAAGTCTGGATTCTGTGGTAAATTGTGGTATTGGTTAATCAGGAAATCCAGGGATATCCAGGGATATCCAGGGATATCCAGGGTAGTAGTTAGCAGTATGGATATCCAGGGTTATCTAGACTGTCTGGATTTTTCATTTAAATAAATCCAGGGAAATCCAGACTGTCTGGATTTTTCATTTAAATAAATCTAGGGAAATCCAGACTGTCTGGATTACTGTCAAGGAGTCTGGATATCCAGGGTTATCCAGACTTCCAATAAAAAGACTGTATCATGATCAAATTTACCTAAATTTTCCAAAAATTTTGGTAAATTCCATCAAAACACCGTCCAATAAAAAGACTATCATGATCAAATTTACCTACATTTTCCAAACATTTTGGTAAATTCCATCAAAACAAATAACAGAAGCGCAGCGTCCAATAAAAAGACTATCATGATCAAATTTACCTAAATTTTCCAAAAATTTTGGTAAATTCCATCAAAACACCGTATCATGATAAAATTTACCTAAATTTTCAAAAAAATTTGGTAAATTCCATGAAAACAAATTAAACAGTACTAACCTTATCATGTAATCCCCCAACAAACAAAATCTTACTGAAGTTCTAATAAAAGTCTTTTTTGCATTGTTGATCAGATAATTATGTACATTCAAAAAACTAAATTTTACTTGAAAAGTTTTTATTCTTCCTATTTATACATGAGACGTAACAGCTTCAGTCTATCTCTCATCTTTGTTCCCAGTTCCCCGGTTTTGGCGCTGCTGTAGACAGTCGATAATACTTCTAAAAAACATATTTAAAAAATACATGTACAAACATTATCAATATCAATAAACACCATTAATAATACAAGCTATAGGAAGTTAGGAACCCGAAAATCAGGCCATTTGATGGATTTTGTTCACACATTAATGATTAAGGATCCCAATTAAACTGAAAATAGAGCAAACTTTAAATACTGTCTGCTTTCTCCCAATTTCTATCTTTGTCTCAAGCAAGGGACTTTGATACGATAGTTTATACTTTATCTCAATGTCATCTGAAATGGCCAAGTCAGGTTCTGTAAAAACTATGAGTTGCATTATGTTCAGAAAGCTGATATACATACCATCTAAAACAATTTTCTTTTCTTTGCTGATTGGGGGTCTCTTTTCATTTTTCGCGCCACCACCTCCACCAAGGCTGCAATTCAAGACATCCTCCTTAGTGAGAACCGTTTCAAACAGGACTTTAACACCTTTCGTCATAGGTAGATCCCTAATCATATCTTTCAACTCTTCCTGTGAAAAAAACGATGCTTGTATTAACAAAAATATATGTTCAAGTCCGTCTAACCCGTAGCATGGTATAGGGGTATCACGGTTGTTTGTTGTTGGCATACATGTAGGGCATATTGTAAAAAATATTGTAATATATTGGGCATATTGCATATTGTAATAGTACAAAACATTTTAGGGCATATTGAAAAAAGTCTGCCATTTTTAAATGTAAAAACCATGGACTGATAATTCAATGCACTGCAGCAAACATTGGATAATATCATTATAATGCTGTAAATGGGAGCCATAAATTCAGACCGTGGTTCTTATAGTTCATTTCTATTATTATCGTTATTCGTTATACTGAAAACCACTTATGCTATTCAAGCCGGACTTGGTTTAAAAAAAACGTACCTTTGTTTTGCCATTAAAGAGTGGATCTGGTCCTTTCGAAAATGTTTTAGCTCCTGCTGTCGAAATGTCACCAAAATCATTTCTGGACTCCTGAAAATTATTAAGATGAACATTAGAAAATTCTTGGATTGACAAAGATGATCAATCTTGAGTATCTCGAGTATATCTTTAATGCTAGTTAAAGGGTGGCATGAAACTAGATTTTTGACAGATTAAATATCTGTTTCTATTTATCATTCTATCCATTAGGATTATAGGCCTGGGTTATAAGTGGCATTATGTCGTCGTTGCCAATTATTCGGCATGATATTTGAAGTTACCCAGAAGTTAGAAAATTTAATTTATATGGTCGTAGAAACCTTATCAATCCAATGTCGAAATACTAACAGTTGAGACTGTGATTATGTTTTGTGAAGCCTTAATAGCATAATACATGTAAATAATACTAACCAGGTACACTACTCTTTCTGTTAATAATCGGACAGATTCCTCTAGCTGTCTTATTCTGTCATCTTGTGTTGGTTGATATGTCGTATCACCATAGAGTGTGTTGGCAGTGCTATTAAGCAGCTGACAAAAACTGCCGTCATAGTTACTGTAATCATTGTTGTGGTTATACGAGGATGATGCTACTGGTGATGAAGAATGGCTGAACGTATTGGGACTTTGATGATGGATGGGTGATGTCGCGATGAAACGATTTGTTGACGGAATGTTTATATTATTGACTGATCTATCGTTGGCTGCAGCTGATGGATTTTCGTTGGCTGCAGCTGATGGTTTTTCGTTGGCTGCAGCTGATGCTGGTGTTTCATCGACTATAAACGATGACTGCCGTCTCATGGCCAGGATACTATCTACATAGTCATCACTATCAGTATCTATAATACAAATCAATTACAAGTTTATTTAATAATTTAAAAAAGAAAAAATTAAATACAGTAAACTTCGCTTATAACATAGTCAGATATAACATATAATCACTTATAACATAGAAATTATTTGGTCCCAATTTACTATAACCCTTATGTTTTTCATCGGATATAACATATATTTGTTCTGGTCCCGACTGATACATTATAAGTGAAGTTTACTGTATTATATGTGACAGGAATAGTAATGAGTAATATTTTTGACGTCATATAAATCGTCAATCACATAAATTGTAAAGCATACAACTTTCCTGACGTCATCCTTAATTGGACATCGAAATGGATTTGTGCACAACGTTGTGTGAGGTATTTAATTATTTTTTGAATAATGAATGACAAGAATATTTAGTTCATAAATTTTTTTCACAAATCAAATGTCAAATTATTTATTAAAATGAAAATTCTTGAAATAGCAATATCTTCAATATCAGGGCTTAGGCTAGAATATTTTATTAAATTTTATATCCTAAGGACATTTTGATATACATTAGGCCATTTAAAATTAATTCGTAGTTTCTGATCGTTTGTTTTTTGTATTTTGTTTTTTTATACTAGAAGAAAATGATGTATCAAATGATAAAGAAAGTATGAAATGAGAAGGTTTAGGGTACTAACATAGCGCAAAAACTTATTTTATTCTCCATTTTTAATTTTTACATGTATTTAAAAAAAATTATTTAATGCGACAGAGGATACGTCGACATAAACTGAAATTTGACTCGGTCAGTTGGATAATGCGTCATAAATTGCTACGTGGTTTAAGATGTCCCATTATGTCCGAGTCTAATTATCAAAATCAGTAGTCATTCGCAGAACATTTCAAAATAATTACAACGACGCGTAGAAGTAAAGTGTCTTTTGTCCGATAATTTTTTGTTGCATGAAATTTTTACGTGCAAACAGCTGGATTTCCTGGCCATTAAAAGTCACAATCTATTTTTATGTATATCTAAAAAATGTTCATTAAAACTTTACCTTCAATTTCCGGCGCCTTTACTTTTCTTTTCCTTGGTTGTTTTTGTAAAGGGTTAATATCCTCCACATCATTACTGTCCTTTGATGGTGCTGTTTTACTCGGTGATAGGGATTTTATATAACTATACAGTCCATCAATCGGCTCGTATCTGCTTAAATAATCTTGTACCGGTTTTCTGACTTTACTGAGGAATTTTTCGGCCACTGCAACAGTATCTGAAAACAAATTTACATCATCATGATCAATAATGGCCTTTATTATTTTATTTATTAATTTAGTAGGCCATACAAAATATTAGCTTTAGCCCTATCTACACTTAGAGCTGTAAAATCTCGGTACTTTTCCGATTCACTGCGATTGTCTGTTAATTTCCCGATACTTTCACTGTTGTCCGTCTACCTACAGTACAGTACACTACACCACACCAGCGAGGATAAGTAGTCACGATTAGGTTTTGGGTAAGGGTTGGTGTTTGATTTAGAGTAAGGGTTAAGGTCAATAAGGATTTATTTGTAAGTTTAAAAATTTGTTTTCAATATATCGTACTTAATTTTAAGGACGTCGCCTTGAAATCGGTTGGAAAAAGCGCTAGCCGTAGTAGATTCAAACAATTCAATTCAAATGCCTAGTAGGCCAAAAAAAAATATGTGTGGTTCGATTTCCCGACCAACTCGTTAATTTTCCTTGCGACTGAAAATTGTTTTTTCATGTTTTATACAGCCGCCGTCATTTTGAACATATAAATCATGTGACTTCAATTTTTCTAATGTATCACCTTTACACATTCATAAACATCGTCATTCATGTAGGAATAAAAATGTTGTTAATAAGTATAGAATTAGAAATAAAAAATACCGTACGTATACAGTTCAAAACGTTTTTAACTGTGAATAACCGGAAATCGTTCGCTGCCGAGTGTCGTAATGACGTAAATCAGTCGCTGGTGCAAAATGGCGACCACGGCGAAGAAGGTTGTCGCCGTGAAGTTTTTGGTTGTGGTTTTCAAAATTCAGATTGTCCAATAAAATTTTTTAACTTTTTCCTACCTACCCTACCCATGAAAAAAAATTAAGGAAATCGGAACCACATATATATTTCTTTTTAATTTTTGGCCTTATCAATATCATTATTGTTATGATTGATGATGATGGGGAGAATCTTTTGATTTTTCACATAATAAATCTAGATATTTCGAGAAGTGAGTCAATGTAAACTTACCAAACACGCCTAAAATAACGGCGTCAAAGTTTTCAATTTTATGCCCGACGCGCCATTTTACAAAAATTCTTTCCCCAGCTTGAAATTCTTTTTCTTCTTTCTTGCTGCTTTCTTCGTGCCTAAAACACGCATTAGGCGTGAGTCTAGACACAGTTGAATCCGCTTCGAAAAACACAATAATTTGTTTCATTTTGAAAGATGAATAGAGATGTATAAATCGGATATAATAGACAACAAAGTGAAAAGCGAACAGGTTTGTCTCAGTGGTTTGTCTACACATGAGATCGCTTGCGATGCAGACAGCTGGAAGTGACGTCACGAACACGCGATTACATCTGATTGGTTATAACACAAACCACGTGACAAAATATGCAAATTATCTCCTGTACCGGCCTGAATACTGTACTGTACTTGGGTACTGTACAAACCCAGATCGCTTGCGATACAGCTGGAAGTGACGTCACGAACACGCGATTACATCCGATTGGTTATAACACAAGCCACGTGACAAAATATGCAAATTATCTCCTGTACCGGCCTGAATATAGACAAACCCAGGCTACTGCTGTCTGCTGACACTGCTACACTGACTTAACTGAAAATGGATGAAAAAATATCATCAGTTGTACTTGGTAAGTAAAATTTAGCCTGTTGCTTTGAAGGTCACAGTGGCAATGCAGTTTTTATTTTTAGCCCACTTTGTTCCGTGACCGTATGCTGTCAGGCGTCGTTCTGTAGACCTAATCAGACTGAAGTTTTCACTATGCTTTTAAATCAATGGATTTCATTATTGATTAATATTGACTATTGTATAATTTTCACTGACATTGTTAAACATTTTTTCAGTAAAAGTAAATTCTGTGATCCTGGCTACAAGTACAAGTGCTTTTCTGAAAAGTACAAACATTAGCCCCATCTACTTACACTAGGAAAATTTGCAAATTTCGTGACCGTCTATACTAGGAGTAGGAAAAATACCGAACCGGTCTCAAATGGCTCGCCTTTTTCCGTTCCGAAATAGACCGCCAAATTTGCAGGCCCACAATCCGGACCAAAACGCTAATGTTAAAAACTAGTTAAGTATACACGGTCGATGATGAAATAGCGTGCCGTACCGGTCTAGACTAAACCGGTTCGGGTCGCTAAAATACTAGTGTAGATATACTTATAGGGCTATTAACCAAATGTCATTTATAAGCCGATATACATTCATGTATACCAATATTTTTATTTTCAAGGTGATAAATGGCAGTGTCCAGCCTGTGAACAGGTGTTATCCCGAAAACAACGTTTGATTAGCCATTGCAAGACTGAACATAACATGGTTTGGAAAAGTACTGAATTTAGGATAGATGATATTGACTTATCAGGTAACCTTTTATTTTATATTAAACTAGCCTTTACCCGCTCCGCGGGATTAGTTCCAAATGAATTAAACTATAGAAAACCGAATTCATTGTATTTAATTCCTCCGTCCATAGCCAGTCACCATTTCACGAATCCAATTTTACTCATGATTCATGAACTCGCAGCACTTCTGTACACCTTCGATACGCATCAATATATATTAACTTGCATTGGAATATACTTATCACACTTATGAGGTATGAGAATTCATGGAAAATGCTCTATCCTTTACACAGTCTTTGGGTAGAATATACAATACAAGATACGTTATACCTACCCTTGACTTACCTCAGCCTGAATGATTTGTAATTGTTTTGTTGTAATCATGACTGTATCTTTCCATTTCAGACATAACAGTTTACCAGTTGGAAAATGGTTCATTCAAATGTCCACTATGCCAGCAAGTATTGAGCAGAAAACAACGATTTTTGACTCATCTGACTGATATCCATAGAATCGAAGGTAATTCAGTGTGATAAAATCTTTTCAAAAGATACAGATATTTTCAAAAGATTGATACCAAATGATATAAAATGTCAGGGCTAGAAATTAAATTTTTCCCTCCTAGGACATTTTGATGGATTTTGTCCTTGGATCTTCTCAAATCCATAGTGAATTAATCATATTTTTCATCCCTATCCAAGGATATTTTGATGAATTTCAAGGCCTGAAATGTGTATTTTTTGGCCTTAGGTTTACAATGTATAGGTCCTTGTTGTAGGGGTACTACATCATTGTAAATAAAAATGTATATTTTAATAAAAATGAATTTTTATTTTTTTCAGGTGTTTTATCTCAGAAGAGAAAATACAAAGAATATCTTAGTGATACTGAGATTCCCATACCATACACTACCAAAAGAAGATGGGAGTTTGGTGAAAGTAGTGCATGTTTCGATGATACTGATAGTGGTATGGAAGAAAATGTAGATATGTCTGTTACACCTAAAAGGAAACAAGAGTGTACAGGTAATGATAAAACCATTTTTAACTTGTACGAAGCTGAGCAAACTGATCCCATAGCTGCTTTATCGACAGGTGATGAGCCTGTTGATATTTCTGTTGATACAACATTGACATCAAATACATGTATTGATGAAAATTATGAAATGGATGATACGACCTCAGACATTTCAGACACTGATGGTGTTGATAATTATCATGACTGTGTGGCAGATGAACCTTCTGATTGTGTAGCAGATGAACCTTGTGATTCTGAAGAAGATATAGATACTAGTGAATTTTTACATGTTGTGAAAAAGGATAAAGCACCGGATTATATTGATCTTGACATTCAGAAAAACATAGCAGTGATTTCATTTGTTTTAAGGCACAAACTCAATCATGCTGCCGCTTCTGATATGATAGATCTTTTTAGTATAGTATCAGACTCAGATATTCCAAGTCTGAAAAAAGTATACGAGTCAATTGGTGACATTGAGACAGAGATTCAGTTTCATGACATGTGTAGTATCTGTGGAACTCTTTTTCCAGATGATAAAAGTATAGTGCAATGTTCCAAAGGTAAATGTCAAGGGATGAGATACAAAGGTTCAATCGAGGAACAAAAGAAGTGTGTTAAAAATTGTTTCTTTGCCACTTTACCTCTAGAAAAACAAATTGGTGAATTGTTATCCCGTCCATCGATTTGGCAAGCCATACATTCCAGAAAGCAGTCCACAGAAGTAATGCATGATATTTATGATGGTTCAGCCTATAAAAAGGCAACTTCAAATTTCAAATCAGGTACAAATACTACCATTACACTCTGTTATAATACAGATGGTGCGCTTCTATTCAAATCATCGCATGTTAATCTATGGCCTATTTTTCTGGTAGTGAATGAGTTGCCACCTAAACTGCGTTTCTCTCGGAAGAATATGTTGCTTTGGGGTTTATGGCAAGGTGAAGGAAAGCCAATATTCAGCCAATACTTTCTACAATTTGCGAAAGACATGAACTCCATGTATGATTCTGGTTTTGATATAGTAGTAAATGAGGAAGAAAAATTGTGTAAAGCGGTCTTGCTTCTCGGAACAGCAGATCTCATGGCCAAGGCTCCTCTCCTTGAAATGGCACATCACAATGGTCAGTGGGGTTGCATTACATGTGAGGAGCCTGGAAAGGTTGTTAAAAGTGGAAAGGGCAATGTGAGATCATATCCTTTTTCTACTGAAATAAATAAGCGCACTAAAGAGTCGTTTCTCGATTCTGCCCTCACAGCACGTCGTACAGGTAATGCTGTGCTGGGAGTAAAAGATGTATCGCCTCTATTAGGCATAGGTTATTTTGATATTATTGAAGGTACAGTGCCAGACTACATGCACGGTGTTCTCTTAGGTGTAGTAAAAAAACTTGCGTCATTATGGTTTAACAAAAAGTACAAAAAGATGCCATATTCAATTATGCATCTCATATCTACTATTGATGGTCGACTTCTGAAAATGAAGCCACTAGACTGTATTAGCCGGATGCCCCGTGGGCTGAAAGATCATCTTACTCATTGGAAAGCCAATGAGTTTGAGGTATGGTTACTGTTTTATTCTATCCCCTGTTTAGATGGCATATTACCTAAGCAATACTACGATAATCTTGCTCTGCTGGTGTCTTCTATCTACATACTGCTACGTGACAGTATTACTTCAAATGAACTTCAAGAGGCAAAACAAAACTTGAAATCGTTCTATCAACAATTTCAAGACTTGTATGGCCTTCAGAACTGTGGTTTAAATGTCCACAATGTTGGTGCCCATTTGGCTGATTATGTTGAATTGTGGGGACCCATGTGGGCATGGTCTTGTTTTGCTTATGAAGATATGAACGGTAACCTGTTGGACAATGTTCATGGTTCGGGCAATGTATGCACACAGGCACTCAAAATTCTTCAATCGCAAAAAATCATACAGCAACAAATTGATAAAATTGACAACCCCACAATTCAAAAGTTTGTCAACCATATGGTAGGTTCACAGAGATTACCAGTTAAGCTTACAAAGCTCAAGGATTGTTCAGCTGTCGGTCGACTGCATGTGACTGAAATAGATTTGAAAATGTTACCGGCACTTGAGTGTTTATTAGGTGATACTGTCAGGGTTGATGACTTTTACAAAGTTTTCCGAGTAGTGGCCGATGATCAGGTTTTTTTCGGTCAAGAGTATTCCAGAATGAAAAAACGTGTCTGCAATTTTGCATTAGTACACAATGGACAGGCGTCAATTGTTGTAGCAGTACGTTACTTTCTTATTCATAAAGTAAAAGAAGAATGTATTGCAGTAGTAGATGAATTAAATCGGAATTCTGACTCGTTATTTGTCCATAAGGCTGTTCATCACTTGCTTAAGGTACACAAACCAGAACTCAATAAGCCACCAACATTTCATATGGTAAAAAATTTTGTCGAAAAACTCATGTATCTTGATGGCAATTCAGAATATGCATGCATAGCCCGTCTACCCAATCTACATCGTCTTACTAATTAAGACCATCTATTGAGTAGGGTGCACTGTGGAGCTAATTGGAAATTGTATGAAATGTAAAATGTATTTCAAGATTCAGATGGAATAAGTTGTGTGTATAATTTATTAACACTTAATTTTGTTCACTCTATTGGGCTGTTCTAAATTGAACAATAAACAATTATATTTCATGAAAACAACTTTTTTATTTTTGTGTATTGCTCTGGAGGTTTTTGACGATACAGTCAAATCTTGATACAACGATTCGTTGTAATGAGGTTCGACTGTATTTTGTCAAAAAGTACTATAGAAGTGGAGAAAATGGTCATATAGCATTATTAAAGTCTAGGATGTTTGGAATTTTTGATAAATTCATTGTCATTCACAAATTTATAAAAGTCCAGGAAAATCCAGACACTCTGGACTTTTACTGAGACCTGTAATTTGACATTTTCAAAAAGTCCAGGGAAATCTTGACAGTCTGGATTTTGATAATATAAAAGTCCTGAAATATCTACACTGTCTGGATTTTCAAGAGAAAAAGTCCAGGAAAATCTAGACAGTCTAGATATTTTCAAGTCTGGATATCCCTAGATTTTCCTGGATTTTTTTTTTTTCGATTTTTTTTCACCTTTAAAGTCCTGGGTAATCCAGGATAATCCAGACTTGGTAAATAATAAAATCCCTGGATATCCAGGGATATCCAGACTCCCTGGATTTATTTTCACACAGAGATACAGCTCACCTCAACTTCTCTCGCATTAAGCCGGCTTCTGGGAACAGCTGAGATGAACGCCAGCTCTGCGACAATACACGCGATGACGTCCGCTTCCTGCTACAATACACGCATGACTTACGCTATGACCGACAATTACGGCGCATGACTGTAATAAATTTTGTCAGTTTATTACAGTATTTGTGTGGTTTATAAATAAGTTGTTCCCTCAGAGTTTTATATTGTAGAGTCTCAAAGTACTGCCACGTCACACCACCATTCGCATCAAGATGATAAGTAAGGCTCTATACAGCGTGTTATTATAATTTGTTAGCTCATCTGACGTAGTCAGATGCAGCTTGTAGAATCGCATGCATCGTCTCGTCCGTCTGCGGTCCGTGCGTCTGTGCCGTCAACAGTTGCGCCCCACAAATCTTAATCGCTCGACGTACGCGTCGACGATATTCGGAATGGTAGTACGTGTTTAACGAGTGCTAGTACGTGTTTAACCGATGTAGGAGTGTGTGTGTGTAACCGATGTAGCTTACGTGTTTAACCGATGTAGTACGTGTGTTGACAGCTTGCGCTGGTGGCCGCAAGTGGTAGCACGCTTGCGTAATAGCGTTTAGGGCATAGATATCACTACAAACACATATATTATACATGTGTTGTTATATATCTATGGTTAAGGGGTCGGCACTTGGAAACTCGACAGCCCTGGAATTTAAACAAAATATTCTCGCCAGCGTGCGCCAAATGTCTTTCTTTCATCCATGCATATTTTAAAATATAATTTAACTTTTATAAAAATCTATACTATAAAAAAGANCCTCCTCCTCCTCCTGCCTCCTACCATTTTTCTTTTCTTATGCAATATATACGGAGCCCGGGAAGGGACATGTGAGAAATATTTTTATCTCATTAAAACGAGATAATTATCTCATTAAAACGACATATTATCTCTTTAAAACGACATATTATCTCATTAAAACGACATAATATCTCAAACACCTGTGACTGCATGTGGGGAGAAGGTGACGGAGATCGAATAAAGAAGGTCGTGGCGGAGAACCAAATGCTCTCCTATCGCCAACCCTAAAGCTATGCTCATGCTAGCTCCAAGAAACGGTATTGCTAGGGTTAGAATACCGTAGAATATGTATATTGACGTTAGTCACACAGCCTGGTTGGGTTATGCTCTTGCTTGATATTAACTTACCTCTCATAAAACTGCTTGGTTTCCATTTTGCTGCATAGATCGAATGCTGGAGTCAAAATGGCGCCTAGGTGGCGCGATGGTGGCGCGCCTTCCTAACCTGTGTTTATTTATAGGCCTTGTTGTTCGGCGGCGATTGGAGCAATCTTGAAAATGAAATCTACGATACTCATCAATTATAATCTATATTAATTAATTATCGATTATTAATTAATGTCGCAGGCATAATGACGTCTGGGCCGGTGCAAAAATCTCAATTTCGTGCCCTGTATATATAGACGTTGATTGCGTGCGTGCATGCGTTTATGCGTCCATGTTCTTGATGTGCAGGTGGAGTCTATGCGAGCGGCGCTAGCAGAGCGGGACACGATCATAGAAAAACTAAAAAAAAAATTGACGCACAGCACTGACGCACAGGCACAGCTCGAGATGGAGAATGCGACGGAGAAACAGAGGGCTCATTCCAACGAGATGGGGGAGGTGAGTGGGTCTATAGCCGTGATCACACCAACATCCGCAACTGCGGGGAGACGAGTGGGGTGTGTTACGAGAATTCATTGAGAAAACAAGTAATCAAGAAGGCAAAATTGAGAGCAGCACTTGCCTCGCCCTACAAAACCATTAAAAATATATTTGTAATTAATCTCGCACCGTGAAACGTCAGTTCACGCCTGGAATTTATGCTCTGTCAGACTAACAAGAAGTTCCACGAGGCGAGCGTTGGGGCCGAAAAGATGGAAGAGGATATCGCCGACTTAAAGTCGGAGGTTGTTCGTGCGGAGGATGCTGAGGACAAGCTCACCCCTCAGCTTGCCTCCCTTGGGAAGACCCACCGACGCAAAGCGGAGGTGAGTGCAAGCGACAGAAGCAGGAGTGATGCTGCTGCGCATTCGTAGAGGTTTGGGTGCAGGTGTGGGAGCGCCAGGGGCTTCAGTGAGAAGTATTCATCACTCCTCGTTAGCGATAAACGGCTGGGTTTGACCACGTCGCAACATATAGTGCTTCTTTCCAACCTTCTTTCTAACTTTCAGCTTTATTTCACAAGACGTTAAAAACGAGACTTTCTCTCGTGTTTATATCTTGAGTTTTTCTTTGATGGGGTATGGGTTAATTAGCTGTGAGACAGACGTAGATTAGCTTGGAAGTTTCAGTGGATGGGATGTAGATGGGATATATAAGTAGGATTCATTGGTCTCTACTGCTACAATACACACATGACTTAGGCTCCTGCTACAATACACGCATGACTTACGCTCCTGCGACAATACGCGCATGACTGTAATAAATTTTGTCAGTTTTATTAACAGTATTTGTGTTGTTTATAAATAAGTTGTTCCATCAGAGTTTTATATTGTAGAGTCTCAAAGTACTGCCACCGTCACCACCACCATCGCCATCAGATGATAAGTAAGCTCTATATAGCGTGTTATATAATTTTTAGCTCATCTGACGTAGTCAGATGCAGCTTGTAGAATCGCATAATCGTCCGTGCGTCCGTGCGTCTGTCCGTCAACAGTTGGGCACAAATCTTAACCGCTCGACGTACGGTCACGATATTCGGATTTAGTACGTGTTTAACCGATGTAGTACGTGTTGTTGACAGCTTGCGCTGTGGCGCAGTGGTAGCACGCTTGCGTAATACGTTAGGGCATAGATATATACAACACATATATATACATGTTATGTATATATCTATGGTTAGGGGTCGGCACTTGGAAACTCGACAGCCCCGGAAATTTAAACAAAATATTTCTCGCCAGGTGCACAACTTGTTTCTTTCATCCTGCATATTTAAAATATATTTAATTTAAAATCTATACTATAAAAAAGAAACAGCGAATTTTTATTAGCTAAGTTATTTTCCAGTTAAGGAATTCCCCTCATGCAATTCCCTGCGATATCCCAAAATCCATAATGACGCTCTGCACCACACACACGGACAGACAGACTATATATATTTATGTGTCAGTGTGCATGCAGCTGCAGCAAGCGTTTCAGCTGAGCGTTTGCAGCGTTGCACATCACCATTTCGACGGCATTTGCATGAAATTCTCCGCAAGGTGAAAGACAGTATAGAAACATTAAGACTTTGGTAGTAAATAGATTTCGTATTTATTTACCATTATATTTTATTGAAACGCTCCAAGTGCCTGTGCTTCACCACAAATGGCACAATGTGCTCACCACATCTTCACGTTCGGTTGAGTTTGACGCCGAAAACTTTGTAGCTCAGTTAATGTACCTCTTTATCTCCTGCACTTAACGTAAGTTTTCCGAAATATCAATATGCCTGTTTCTTGAATTACAATCATAGTTCTTAGGCCTACACAAACACAGTGACCATGTTTGCCCAGTCAGTAAATAAATGGCACTATTCCTGCCGATTGTCACCAGTTCCTGCATGAATTATGTCAAGAGTAGATAATAGGAGATATCTCCTATTATCTACTCTTGATTTATGTATTGTTGTATTATTATGTATTATGTATTGTTGTCTTATTATGTATTGTTGGCAAAACATGTTTAGAAGCACTCAACCAGATCATAGTTGGAATGTCGAAGCTGGGGGGTCAAAGGTCAAAGGTCAAGAGGTGTAAAAGGAGGGGGAACATTTCTTCCTTAACTTAAGGTATAGAGACATTTGGGACTAACAGAGTTTACTAGAATCCCACCACTCCACCACAGAGTCACCGCAGTAGACGTTAGATGAGCGCTGTTGCTCTGCGGCACTTGTTTCTATATTTACGGATTTTCCATCATGCAAAGTGCCGCGGACAAGCTAGTGCAACCCCAACATGTTTACATCCGCGCATGGGAAACTACCTCGAAAGTGTACTGTTTTTGTGACTAATCAACTTAGATTTACTCGTCCTGCTATATGCAAGCACACAGAAGAATGATCTTGGGCTTGTTTTAAAGGACAGAAACAAAATGATGTCGTTTAATACCCGCGAAGTTAGCCGGGTATTTATACTTGAATGGCAACTTACGTTTGATAAATTGGTCAAGATATTGTAGAACTTAGAAGCTATGAGTATGAGTCTGACCACAAAAATGGGTGAAAATGCTCAAAATAGTGGCCTGTTTTGCCCATTATAGGCCTACCTTACAATAGGTAGGAAATTTCAATTCTGTGAACGCTGTTGTGTTTCTCATGGCAGGGCTATCTAATCTAGTCCCAGCTAACAATATAACGTTGTGGCAACGTTGTCACAACGTTTCACTTACGTTGTGAAAACGTTGTGGTACAACGTTGTGGCAACGTTATTTTGTGGACTCCCCTGAACGTTGCCACAACGTTATGATACAATAGTACGTAGTACTAGTACAAACCTAGACCGAATAATTCTGTCCCATTATCCATATCACCTTAAACTTCGTGAATCGAATGATGCATCGAATCATTCGATTCGCGCATCGAATCATTCGATTCACGCATCGAATGATGCATCGAATCATTCTCGATGTGTAAGCCTATGAATATGCATGCTGCCGAACTTAGAGTCCTACGACGTGTAACAGTCGGAGAGCCTGGTCGGTTTAGGGTTTAACTAGTACTAGCTCTAGTACTATAGCCCGCGGAGGCCGCAGCCACATTCCTTTTAAAATTTTAACTAAGTAAATTTAATTAAAAGTAATCTAAATTCATCCTTATTTTTTCCTGCATACCAGTCCTCACCAAAAAACAAAATCCTTTACTGGACATTCGGTCCAGTAAAAAATCCAAATGATATGTTAATGGACCAAAAAAATATTGAAACATTAAAACACATTCACATCTCTGTTGCTTTTCCTGGATTATATATAGTAATCATCACAACAGCTTCTGTGCGTACCCTTCCCGCTCCAGCTCTCTACTCTCTAGTTTTACTGTTAGTCTCTCAACTTTAATCTGTAAGTCTGTTATACTTAGTTCTCTAGTTCTGTTCTCTCTACTGTTTCTCTGTTTCTGTCACTCCTGCAATCTCCTCTTCCGTCCCTACCTTCCGCCATCTCTTCCTCTTCCGTCCCTACCTTCCGCCATCTCTTCCTCTTCCGTCCCTACCTTCCGCCATCTCTTCCTCTGTCCCATCTAACTGTACGGTACTGTTACTGAAGGAACTCATTGTAGAGTCGCGTCTTTGCTGTGGTCTACGCGAGCAAGAGCAAGGCGCGTGACAATTAACCAGCCAGCGGCAGCGCGAAGTTAGGGGGGATTTGTCGAATGCATGAATATATCTATATGTCTGCATATGTGTGTGCGTGTGTGTGTATATATATGCATGTCTGTTTGTATAGTCAAGACTGTGTGAGTGTCTGTCGTGTGTGTATGCGTATTAGCCAGCGAGACGTGCAGCCGTGATTTGCACGGTCCGTTTTGAAACTGGACGGCCAAAGAAATGGGAAAAGTGGAAAAGTTACAAATGTAAAAAAAAATATAAATATTCCTGCCTAATACCCTGACCCTAACCCTAACCGTAATCCTAATCCTAATCCTAAGCCTATACCCTAACCCAAACCTCTACGAATGCGCAGCAGCATCACTCCTGCTTCTGTCGCTTGCACTCACCTCCGCTTCGCGTCGGTGGGTCTCCCGAAGGGAGGCAAGCTGAGTGGTGAGCTTGTCCGCAGCCTCCTCCGCACGAATAAGCATTGACTTCAAATTTGCAATGGCCTCATCCTTCTTTTCTGCAGTAACTCTCGCCTCGTGTGACTTCTTGTTAGTCTGACAGAGCATAAATTCCAGGCGTGAACTGACGTTTCACGGTGCGAGATTAATTACAAATATATTTTTAATGGTTTTGTAGGGCGAGGCAAGTGCTGCTCTCAATTTTGCCTTCTTGATTACTTGTTTTCTCAATGAATTCTCGTAACACACCTCACCCGTCTGTAGTTTTAGAAGATGACAATGATTATATGGACGATATTCTAGAAATTGGAGATTATAAAACAGTAAAAAATCGCTCAGTTATGCTCCAGATTAGCCACAAGTTCCATTCTCGCTTAACACTACATTGACTACTGTTCCTACGACGTGTAACAGTCGGAGGGCCTGGTCGGTTTAGCCCCAGATTAGCTGAATCAAAAAGATTAGAATTTGATATGAACAAAACAAATATAATGGTTATATAAAATTCACAAACAAAGAAAGGATCGAGGGGATTAATAGGCAACCAAGTAATAAAAAAATGCACCAAATATTCATACCTAGGGGATTTAATTAATGATATAGGAGGTTATAACGCTATGTTAAGTCCGAACTGAAAAATGTAGGTTATTAAGGGAAATAATTATTATGGGCAAAAGAGCAAAATTGTGGAAATCATACTATAGAAGCAAGAGTGAAATTATGCGAATACACAGTTTTACCTTTCTTCCTAAATAACAGTGAAGCATGGACTAACTTAACTAAGGAAGAAGTAAACATGTTGGAGGATATCCAAAATGATCCAAGAGATGGCTCTGTGGCATGTAAACATTGGCTCCCGAAGCGAGTTTTTTTGCGGAAATGTTTACTGAATGACGCACTCGTTGACTTGCGACAGCAAGTGAAAATGCAGAAATTTTTTCTCTTCGATGCCAAATGCATCGGCCGGGCATTTTATTATTTACGAAAAGTCAACGGGCTCGCAGTAGGTACAGGAGTCAGCTCACGTCGTTGACGCCCCGGCCATTCATGCCCATCAACGTATAAGGCGTGCTTATTGTGCTTACAGATATGCGAAAATGCAATAAAAGGACTTAGCACTGTGCGCAAAACAGTGTGTTATATTCGTATTTGTGCCAAACTCTATCGTATGAAACCGTTCTAGCCTAGCAGAATGCCCTAGTTCCTGAGATCGGCGATTCCATGCTCTAATAGTATTATACCTGGAAGTTATAATAGGAGGGTGCGGCATAGACTGTGATTGGAAGACACAAAGTGTCAATCCTCGGCATCATGGCCGCATCACGTCTAGTACTAGCAGGAAATACACAACAGGTTGAGGCAGTTGTATGATTATCTGGTGCTTTAGTTATTGCAGACTCAGCGTCCAGTTCGTTCTATCATCTATGCGAGTAGCTCCAAGAAACGGTATTGCTAGGGTTAGAATACCGATGTATATTGACGTTAGTCACACAGCCTGGTCGGGTTACTAATACCAGTGCTCTGCTAATACTATGCGAGTATGACTATGAGTATGACATCGTCATTGCGAATATAACACAAATATATAAAACCAAAATTGAGTAATTGAGTCAACAGGTTGAGGCAGTATAGCCAGTAGTCCCGTACAGATTGTCAATACATGTGAATTCGTTGAACCAGCAGCTAATAATGACAAAGGAGTAAGACACCGATTTGGTACTGGTTTCACTACATTTTTGTCGTACGAGTTTGATGAGAATAAAAATACAAATGTATACAAACATGAGCTTCTTTTATTCACTGGTCCTTATTCTATCTTCCGGTAGTATTACAAACCGCGTAGCTTCCTTCGTTTTAACAGAAATCGTACTTTTCCACGACATGGTTTTTCACGTCATATACGGTCGTCTGGCGATGCCAAGCTCCAAATTCGCGTACACAGCTACTTGAAGGAGGCGCGTCAGGGCTTTTCGGCCGTAGCCTAGTCGAGTGCATAAAACCGCCTAGAAATTAGGTTACGTTGCACCCATGCTGAGTTTAAAAATTAAAACTATTTTACATTTAAACTATAGTTAGAATGCCTTGTTTTTATGGTTGAATCCCGCAGTTTTTTTTAAATAAACGCTGCGCTGGTAAAATATCTGAACTACTTCACCCGCGGAGGAATAATGTGTATGAATCTTAGGAGTAAAATGACGCTCCAGCTGATTGTACCTTTTCGCACATGTGTTTTGCATAGCAACTATTACTATGCAATTGCAGGCAAACGCATACATGTGTTTACACCTTACTTATCATGACCATCTGTATGTGACAAAGGCGAGAGTTAACGTCGTCATGGAAAAGTACGATTTCTGTCAAAACGAAGGAAGCTACGCGGTTTGTAATACTACCGGAAGATAGAACAAGTGCCGCAGTGCGACAGGGCTCATCTGGTGTCTGGTGTTCTGTAGATTCATCAAGCTGCGTACGCAAAATATTTTGCGTAAATCTTGTGTACGCAGACTCGACGTTGCTTATGTGCGCCATTCATCAACACTATGCCTATTAGTCAAATTTGCGTCGATTTCGCGTAACGCGAAGGCGATGGCCGGTTTAGCGTGCGCATTGCATCAAGCTAAAATTTACGTAAACCCTTGCGTAACTTCTAACACGAGCTGACGAGCGTGTCGTAACACTCGAAATTTCCGCAGGTGTGTTCCAGAATACCGCAGCATCATTATTTTATTTGAGCAAAACAATTATAAAATTACTACTCAAACTAAAAATAGAATAATAATTACACATACTAGCACAGACCAGGCGGCGCCTTTGACGCTTCTTTATGTCTATAGCTCCCCCACCTGGCATTGTTTCTTAATAAGCGGTTCGTAGTTAGCCGTGTACGTGCTACACGCTGTACGTGTTACTGTGCACACGGCACGCATGTTATGTGCACATCCGACGCAGGCGACCGTGTACGTGCTACGCACGCACCTCGCACAACCGGTTGCACGAAGCACGCACGCAGCGTGTACGTGCACATGCAGCGCACAGCCCTGTGTACGTACACACGCTCACGCACGCACGTGTACGTGCACACGCACGCTACGTGTAGCGTTGCACACACCACGCGCACGCAGCGTGCACATGCACGCACGCACGGCACAGCACGGCGCGCCCAATGTATGTACACACGCACGCACGGCACGTGTACGTGCACACGCACGCACGGTACACGCAACGTATACGTGCACACCACCGCCCGACGATGCACATGCACTCACGCACAACGTGGTACGTGCACACGCACGACAGCGCCGATGTATGTGTACACACGCACGTGCGCACGTGTAACGTGACACGCACGCACACACGCAGCGCACGCACGTGTACCGTTACACGACGCACGCCAGCACGCACGGTGTACGTGTACACGCACAAGCACGCATCCACGTGTACGTGCACACGTTACGCACGCCCGTGTACGTAACACACGCACGCACGCACGTGTACTGCCACAGGCACGCACGGGTGTACCGTGCACAACGCACGTAACGGTACGTGCACACACACATTCTCGCACGGCACGTGCCTACATGCCCACGCACGGCTACGCACGTGTTACGTGCCACAACGCCAGCGCGCACGCACATGTGTACGCTGCACCACGCACGCACGCACATGTGTACTGTGCACCCACGCACGCACGCACGTGTACGTTACCGCCGCACACACGCACGCACGCCACGCCTACGTGTACTACACACGCACTGGGGAACGCACGCACATTGTACGTTACACACCGCACGCACGCACGTGTATCGTACACACGCACGCACGCCCTGTGTACGTACACACGCACTCACGGCACGTGTACCTGCACACACCACACACACGCACACGTGCACATGCACGCACGCACGCACCCACGTGTACGTGCACACGCACACACGCACGCACGGGTACGTACACACGCACGCACGCACGTGTACGTGGTGCTGCTTTCACGAGTGTTGAAACGCAATCATACAAACGAAAATGAGGACACTATCACATCCCCCAGCACTCATGTAGACAAGACGAGACGATTAGACGAGCCATATGGTTTAAATACAAGAGAGTCGTTGTTCTTCGCGTTCCTATGGTAAGTGTCGCACAGTGTGATTGGTTTATGCTAGGCACACCCCTCCACAGCCAGCAGCTACGATAGCGTAGTGGGTTTACAATGGAATTCATCAACATTTGCGTACGCAGGTGCTACGCTGCGTTGATGAATCGCACTTACGAGCTTTGCGTACGTACTTCGTAGAAACTCCCGTGTACGCAATAGACTTTACGCCAACGTTGATGAATCCGGCCCCCTGCTGATAAATTCATTTGTGCATAGCAAGACGTCTTATACATAAGTCTTCTTTATTCTGTTTGACTTTTCGTAGCCAATTCGAACAAATATATCAGCTACACTTTTCGCACCCCCAATCTCTATGGCATTGCAGACACATGTGCATTGCAGGTTGGCAAGCAACAATTATGATTAGAAGCGCTGCCAGCCATGGGCTGCCGCCGGTGTTTTTGCTTACCAAGCGAGCATCTCACTGATTCAGCCTTCAGGGTGCTATTAGACAGACTGCTTTTAGAACATAATATAGATTTAAGGAGTGTAAACCTTGTTCAACAAACATTTACCTTTGTCATTCAACTGTGCAACTGTAGCCTCACATTCACACAGGTATGGGCTCTAATAATAGCAAAGCAGTTCAGTCCTTTGTTAACAGTCAACAAATCAATGTTTAATCCTCCTCTTGAGGGCAAAAAGGTTATCCGACACTAACTCTTCGCATGTCAGCGGAAAGTACATTTTATGGTCTCTTTTAATATAAGCCATAAAAATGGTAGGTCACCGCTGAAACTAAAAAGTTTTTCAATCGCTCCGTCAGACCATGTCCTCAGAAAATGTCTAAAATCTGCCTGCTTGACCTTTGACCTGTGACCTCCAATTTCGGCACAGTGATGGCTTTTCCTACCATGATGCTATACACCGACTATCACGAGCCTAGGTCGAGCCGTTTAGATTTGTCCCGCAATTCTGCATTTCCCTCCCTATAACCTGAAGTTTAAGGAGGGAATGTTCCCCCTTCTTTTACACCTCTTGACCTTTGACCCCCAGCTTTCGACATCACCAAACTCGTTATCGGATTACCCCCCCACGTCCCGACTTTCGAATCCGTACGTCGAGCCGTTTAGATTTGTGCCCAACTGTTGACGAGCGTACGCACGGACGCACGGACGCATGCACGGACAATCATACGATTCGCCAGCCACTCTTCTGCACCACTCTCTCACTGTCTCTCACTTCACGCTCCTGCACCCCTCTCTCACTGTCTCTCTCCCTCCCCTACCCCTCTCCCTCTCTTATTGTCTCTCACTTCACTCTTCTGCACCACTCTCTCACTGTCTCTCACTTCACCCTCTGCAAACCCCTCTCTTCACTGTCTCTGCAGCTCTCACGCCTCCTCCCCTACCCCTCTCCCTCTCTTACTGTCTCTCACTTCACGCTCCTGCACCCCTCTCCCTCTCTTACTGTCTCTCACTATCACCTTCTCACCCTCCGTGTCTCACCGTTTCTCACTTTCACCTTCACTCTCGCCCTCGCTTAGAGAGGGAGAGGGGTAGGGGAGGGAGGGTGAGAGTGAGAGACAGTGAGAGAGGGGTGCAGGAGCGTGAAGTGAGAGACAGTAAGTGAGGGGTGCAGGAGGGTGAGAGTGAGAGACAGTAAAAGAGGGAGAGGGGTGCAGGAGGGTGAGAGTGAGAGACAGTAAGAGAGGGAGAGGGGTAGGGGAGGGAGGGTGAGAGTGAGAGACAGTGAGAGAGGGGTGCAGGAGCGTGAAGTGAGAGACAGTAAGAGAGTGGTGCAGGAGGGTGAAGTGAGAGACAATAAGAGAGTGGTGCAGAAGAGTGAAGTGAGAGACAGTAGAGGAGGAAGAGAGGGATAAGTGCGAGACAGTGAAAGGAGGGATCGGGGATAAAGGAAATAAGGAAACAAGGGATGGAGGGGATGGAGGAAGATAAGGAGGGAGAGAAGATGGACATAGTGTGAAAGAGGAGGCAGGGAGGCTGAGAGTGAAAGACAGTAAGAGAGGGGAGACAGTGAAAGAGGGAGGAAGTAAGAGGAGGAAGAGAGAGGTTCTGGGCCTAATCTATTCAATTTCCATACACAATTCCCCCACAAACATGAACAACGTGTACCATTAAACTGTTCTAGCTTGCAACAGAGCCCAGGGGCAGGAGGAAAGTGTACATGGGCCCAGATGGATTAAATAGATTTATTATGTATATGTATATTTATTATATAATTACCTCCGCCAGGGGCGTGGCGGAGGTTATGTTTTCACCGGCGTGCCATTGAGTGTTGGTTTGTGTGTGTGTGTGTGTGTTACCCATGCACGTTTCAGTTCACTTCCGCCTAGGTGCGCTGGCTGTAGACTTACAAACACGCAAACCACAGGCTAAGGGCCAACCACAGTCCTCCCCCACCTGCACGCTCGCATAATCCGGATCAATTAATTATTTAATTAATTAATTAATTAATTTTTCCACTTAATTAATTAATTAATAAAAAATTTACAATTGAAGAGAATTCAGCCTGCCTTGGCGGAGGTCTGTGCTCTCCGAGTGCTCTAGTTATATATATATCTCATCGCCAGGAGGCGCCACCGCTGCACGCACCTGCTTCGTCATCTCGAGCATCTCCCGCCTGAGCGCGCGCATCTCCTCCTGATCCTGCGCATGCCTCCGCTCGGCTTCTCCCCGCACGCGCTCCACCTCCTCCCGCAGCAGCTGCTCCTTGTCCTCTAACACCGTCTGTAAACATTGTCCTAAATCACAGTCAATCGCACTTGGACTACCGCTGTGTCATCACTCTGCACGCTGCACAATGAATCACTAGCATTCCCATAGAACGTCTGTTACCTGCAGTTGAAGATCTATATATACTAGCTAGCTTAGTGACTGTGATGCATGTGTTACCATGCAGTGCAGTAGTGTTATGTGTAAGGTGTTATATGGAGAGTTTAGTTGTTGCACATGTTTGTTTTTTTATGGTTGAGAAGTCAATATACAAATACATGTGCAATTATGCTTACACGTAACACATTAACCATTTGTTTGGCAAGTACACAGTGAAATACACACACCCGCACACAAAATGTTTTAATGTATGCTATGTACTGGTTGATAATACGGACTCCAAAGTTAGATATAGTATAGATGTGAATGGGTACAACGTAAACGTAATATTACGTGGCTTCGCATGTTTCCACCTGTGTGCGGACGCAGGTGAATATTGCGTGGTTGTGATCGCTTATTTTCTACGCATGTTTTGCACTGCTGTGCGGATGACGTAATATTACGTGCTTGTGATCGACCGCTTGTGACAGATCGGCTGTTCACGACACCGCTACACTGTACAGCATGCAGACTTCCAAAATAAAATCTGCTCTGATGAAATTCAACTTGCACATCTCATATGGGAAACTATGGCCAAATAGCTACTGAATATTTAACTTCATTATTACATGGTTATTTCTACTTACATTATGGGGCTTACACAAATCTCAGACACACAGACACAGAACAGAGATACACATAACAACACGAAATTGAAACCTGTTGAAACAAAACGGAATACAAACAGAACGAAAACAAAACAGCGCCCCCTATTTTTAGGCAAATGCTTACCTTTTTTGTGTTTTTTTGTCTTTTTTAAGACCGAACAAACGGTTTTCAACCGAGTATAGTTTAGAACCCGTCCCGTGTACTCATCGATCTCTTCTGTAACTTTGGCGCTATTTGGATCCAAACTGACGGAGCCTTTCATTAACATACATACATACAACATTCGCCAAATTATAGTAAGATATATATATATTGCATGTGCATCCTTCACCACCCCCTGCCATGATAGAATCAGTTGCGTTGTGATATAACATATAGGGTGGATCATAGGGTAAAGATAATATGCATCTTAATCCCTTATTATCCTCCGTATGTTAGACCCTTATACTGTCGATGATTAACAGAAGTGAATGAGATACATGTACATATATACATATATATATATATACTATTGAGGAGTTACAAAGTGTAGATTTATATTATCAGACGTGAATCTGTTGTTAACTTACTGCTGGCAGATGCACCAACTTATTGCAAATGCAGCAACTTACAAGATATATGCCCACGCGAGATACAAAAAGATACAAGAATGCGACATGCAGAGTCTGTTACAACAGAATAACTGTGAGGAACAGAAAAAAAATTCCACCAAACAGTACTTTACATCGAGCAATCATGAGTTATGAAATATATCTAATCACATATAACCTTTTTCTTATCTTCTATAATTTGCACGACTTATTTATCGCAGTCAATTATGTAAAGTTAAGTCAAAACAATTAATCAAAGTCAATCGCATTAACTTATATAATATATAACCTTCGCTAGCTATTACATTCAGAACGAGACAAGTTGATTAATACGATGCCATCACGGGCATACGATGCCATCACGAAACCCTTGACTTTTCACTTTCGACTGACAGCGCTTGTACGTTGCGTTGTGTGTTGCGCGTGTTGTATTTCTCATTACTACCTCAGCGAAGTCTAATCACAGCTCCAACCCATATCTAAGCCCTAATCAAGATTTTGGATTCGTGAATATAATTTTTTATTCGTCGAACTATTTGGTGATGGAACCACATTTTATACTCACTTATACGTCATACACGCAAGGACAATATCTGCAACGCAAATTGGTCCAACTCGCACGCACGCACGCACACACACGCACGCGCGCGCGCGCACGCACGCACCCACACACGCACACGCGCACGCACGCACGAACGCACCCGCACGCACGCACGCACATACACACACACACACACACACACCACACACACAACCACCACACACAAACCAAACACAACAGCGCGCGACGCGCGCGCCTCACACAACACAGTCACCAACACCCAGCACATCTGTCACCACCCCCACCAATAAAAGAGAATTTGTTGATGTTCTCGTGTACGTACAGCGGACGCCGTCAGCACGGTTAGTTAGCATCACGTTAGTTAGCAAGCATCCCTAGTAGCAATCCCTAGTTACATCACGTTTACGTTAGGCATCCTAGTAGGCATCACGTTAGTTCGCATCCGTTAGTTAGCCAGGCATCCTAGTTAGCAATGCCTAGTTAGCATCCCTAGTTAGCAGCACGTTGAGTTACAGCGATCCCTAGTGACACCACTTAGTTAGCAGCATCCCCTAGTTGCAACGTAGTTTAGCAGCATCCCTAGTTAGGGCACCACCGTTAGTTAGCAGCATTCCCTAGTTAGCACCACGTTAGTTACATTCAACGTTATGTTAGGGCACACGTTTAGTTAGGCAAGCATCCCTAGTTAGGCATCACGTAGTTAGGCAGCATCCCCTATTAGCAACCCCACGTTAGTTAGCAGCATCCCTAGTTAGCACCACTTAGTTAGCAGCATCCTAGTTACACCACGTTAGTTAGCAGCCATCGCTAGTTAGCACCACGTTAGTTAGCAGCTATCGCCTAGTTAGCAGCCAGTTAGTTAGCACACGTTAGTTAGCAGCAATCCTATTGACCAACGTTAGTTAGCAGCATCCTAATAGCACCCACGTATAGGCAGCATCCTAGTACACCACCGTTTAGTTAGCAGGCATCCTAAGTTAGCAGCCAACTAGTTAGCAGCTCCGCTAGTTAGCACAAACGTTAGTTAGCAGGCACCCTATTAGGGCACGCACGTTAGTTAGCAGCATCCCTAGTTAGCACCACGTTACGTTAGGGCAGCATCCCTAGTTAGACCGAACGTTAGTTAGCAATCACTTTAGTTAGCACCACGTTAGTTAGCACCAAGTTAGGTTAGCACCACGTCTTAGTGTAGCAAGCATCCCTAGTTACATCACGTTAGTTAGCATCACGTTAGTTAGGCATCACGTTAGTTAGCACATCCGCTAGTTAACAAGCATCACGTTAGTTAACACTCCACGTTAGTTAGCCAATCACGTTAGTTAGCATCAGCGTTAGTTAGCACCACGTTAGTTAGACAAGCCATCCCTAAGTTTAAGCACCACGTTAGTTAGCCAGCATCCCTAGTTACATCACGTTTAGTTAGCAGCCATCCCTAGTAGCACCACGTTTAGTTAGCAGCATCCCTAGTTTAGCATCACGTTAGTTATCAAGCAGTCCCATAGTTAAGAGCATCACGTTAGTTACAGCAACCCTTAAGTTAGCACCACGTAGTTAGCAGCATCCCTATTTAGCATCACGTTAGTTAGCATCACGTAGTTAGCAAGCATCGCTAGTTAGCACCGACGTTTAGTTAGCAGCATCCCTGAGTTAGCATCCCTAGTTTAGCAATCACGTTAGTTAGCATCCCTAGTTAGCATCCCTAGTTAGCATCACGTTAGTTAGCGGATCCCTAGTTAGCGTCCGCTAGTTAGCATCACCGTTAGTAGCACCACGTTATTAGCATGTCATCCCTAGATTAGCACCACGTTAAGTTACATCGCATCCCTAGTTAGCATCCCGTTAGTTAGCAGCATCCGCTAGTTAGCACCAACGTTAGTTAGCAGCATCCCCTAGTTAGCATCACGTACAGTATAGCAACCATCCCTAGTAGCAGCATTCCCTAGTTAGCACCAACGTTAGTTAGGCAGCATGCCCTGAGTTAGCACCAAACGTTAGTAGCAGCATCCCTAGTTAGCATCACGTTAGTTAAGCAGCATCCCTTAGTAGCACGCAATCCGACTAGTTAGCACCACATTAGTTAGCAGCATCCCTAATTAGCATCACGGTTAGTTAGCATCACACGTTAGTTACAGCATCCCTAGTTAGCACGCACGTTAGTTAGGCAGCAATCCCCTAGTAGCCATCCCTAGTTAAGCATCACGTTAGTGTAGGCATCCCATAAGTTAGCATCCCTAGTTAGCA